AGGCTGAGGCAGGAGAATTGCCTGAACCCAGGAGGCGGAGGTTGCGGTGAGCCGAGATCGCGCCATTGCACTCCAGCTTGGGTAACAAGAGCGAAACTCCGTCTCAAAAAAAAAACAAAACAAAACAAAACAAAACAAAAAAAAAAACTCACTCCACAACAACAACAAAAACCCATGGTTGGGTGCAGTGGTTCACGCCAGTAATCCCAGCACTTTGGGAGGCCGCGGCAGTAGATCACCTGAGGTCAGAAATTCGAGACCAGCCTGATCAACATGGTGAAACCCCCATCTGTACTAAAATACAAAAAAATTAGCCGGGCGTGGTGGCGGGAGCCTGTAGCCCAGCTACCTGGGAGGCTGAGGCAGGAGAATTCCTTGAACATGAGCGGCAGAGGTTGCGGTGAGCCAAGATTGCACCATTGGACTCCAGCCTGGGCAACAAGAGCGAAACTCTGTCTCAGAAAAACCCCCCAAATAAACAGAAACCCCTTGCCCCAGGGCACAGAGCAGCAAGGGATAGAGCCAGGACCAAGAGGGAGGCTAGAGAGCAGACAGCAGGAAGCAGTGAAGGACAGGCTGGTCTGGCCGGGGTCTGGGTGCCAGGCAACGAGGCTGGCAGTCTCCATTCTGCCCTTCTCACTTTCTTCTCAGATGGGTTGGCTATCAATATCCCGGCTACCGCGGGTACCAGTACCTCCTGGAGCCTGGCGACTTCCGGCACTGGAACGAGTGGGGGGCCTTCCAGCCACAGATGCAGTCCCTGCGTCGCCTGCGTGACAAGCAGTGGCACCCTGAGGGCTGCTTCCCTGTCCTGGCCACAGAGCCCCCCAAGTGAGTCCACACCTCCTTCTCCTACTTTGCCCCACCCTTTCTTCAGGCTCAATGATTCCCTCATTTTTCCCAGGCAAATAAAAGTCCCTAAAGCCAAAATGTCTCCTGGATCTGTAAACAGATGTGTGCCTTGTTGTCCCCCATGGTTGTTGGGCTGTGACTTCCTCGGTCTTAATAATTACAACAATCAACAAAGCCGCAAACACTGAAAAGTTCTTTGTGCCCGTTATGTGACTCTACCCAATGCGTAGGCAGAAATGAATAAGGCCAAGTTTCTGCCATTAAGGAGCTTGCTCGGCCTAGCAGGGGAAACCCAGATACACCTGTGAGGTGCTATCCAGGGTACTAGGTAGGAGATGGTCCAGCCAGGGCATTGGTGCTGCAGGTCAGGGGAGGCAGGTTGGTTTCTGGGTCCTGAATGGGTGTGTTGGGGTGGAGGGCAAGTACTTGGCCTTATTCATTATGAAGACCACTCTAGGAGGTTGGTATTATAGTTACTCTCATTTAACACGTGAGGAAACTGAGGTTCACAGACGGGAAGTTATTTTCTTTTTTTTTTTTTTTTTTTTGAGACGGAGTTTCGCTCTTGTTACCCAGGCTGGAGTGCAATGGTGCGATCTCTGCTCACCGCAACCTCCACCTCCTGGGTTCAGGCAATTCTCCTGCCTCAGCCTCCTGAGTAGCTGGGATTACAGGCACGTGCCACCATGCCCAGCTAATTTTTTGTAGTTTTAGTAGAGACGGGGTTTCACTATGTTGACCAGGATGGTCTCGATCTCTTGACCTCGTGATCCACCCGCCTCGGCCTCCCAAAGTGCTGGGGTTACAGGCTTGAGCCACCGCGCCCGGCCGGGAAGTTATTTTCCCAAGGTCACACAATTAGCAAGTCAGGACTTGAACTCAGGCTGTCTGGCTCCAGAGCGCGCACTCTTCAGGACATATCTAAAGATTTTTTTCAAACTCTTGCTGTTTGCATATCCCCCTCAGGATTTTTTGCACTGTGGCATGATGCCTGGTCTATTATTGACGATATTTTTATTTAAATAGACTTCCCTTTTTGTCTTTAAATGCATTGATATGTAAATAAAGCTTTATAGTGCTACAGGAAGTGGAAAATCAGTATCATATACATAGAAAGCAAACACGTAGGCCAGGCGCGGTGGCTCACGCCTGTAATCCCAGCACTTTGGGAGGTCGAGGCGGGTGGATCACTTGAGGTCAGGAGTTTGAGACCAGCCTGGCCAACATTGTGGAAGCCCATCTCTACCAAAAATATAAAAAATTAGCCGGGTGTGGTGGCAGGTGCCTGTAATCCCAGCTACTCAGGAGGCTGAGGCAGGAGAATCGCTTGAAGTGGGAGATGTGAGGCGTGAGGTTGCAGTGAGCTGAGATCACTGCATTCCAGCCTGGGCGACAGGGAGAGACTCCATCTCTGCACCAAACTGAGACACTTTTCCTCCGTGATTTAATCAATAAAGGTTGAAAACAGCATCTTTTTCTTGTATCCAATTCAGTGTTACTCAATCCTGGGGCTAGGGCCCATCAAGAATCATCTCGTCTGGAAATCTCCGCCAGGCACTATTGTTTCCCATATCAATAGTTAATATTGATTTATGTTGTTAATCATTAATCTATGCAGACAGCCTGGTGGAACGGGGGATGGGGGTTGCTATGGATATCTTCTGGGTGGAGGGAATATCTGAAGGAGGCCATGAAAGATGGAGCAGGAGCTTGCTTGATGGAGGATAGGGGAGATGATATTCCAGGCAGAGGAAACAGCAGGGTCCCCCCTACCCCATATGGCACCTTTGGGCCAATGATAAAAAAGAGGCCTCCTCCTCAAGACGTTTTACTGCCATCTGCTAGAAATTATTGGTATAAATCTGAGATGCCTACCATGTGAATGTGATGCTCTTGTGCTATGCCCAATGTGCACAGCTGTACTTGGCAGCCCCGAAGCGCCAGGAAGAAAGGCATAGAGGTTGAGAGAGTTGTGGTGGCCCCAGTGAAGCTTACTGAGGTGGGAGCATCAGCCTGGTGGTTGTGTGGGCAGAAGCGCAAGGTGGGACAGATGCACTCAGAAGATAAAGCTGGCAAGAAAGCTAGGGCCTCACGACACCCCACCCTGCGGTTTTGCTGAGCTTCGAAGTTGAGACACCACCTCACATGACCTGGCACTGTCTCATTCACCTTCCCTCTTCTCATTTTCGTTCTCCCCACCTCCACACTCTTGGCCAGCATCTTGGACTAGAAGACAGGGCTGTCGGTGGACCAGGATTCCTGGACAGAAATCAGGAGGAATACCTGGGTATTAACCCTGCTGTACTGTTAGAAGCTGGGAAGAACCAGGCAAATTGCTTCCATTCCCTGGGACATGTTTTTCTCTTCTATAAAACAGCAGCTCAAATACCCATCCAGCCCCAAGAGTCGGAGGTGCCCAAGTTCCATGATTCTCTAAGGTTCTGATATTTATTTCTAAGCTTCTGTGATTCTCTGATTCCAAAGCCAAGCCACCTGGATTTTCATTCTAAGTTCTTAAGGTCCGTGAGTACAGCTCTAAAATTCTACTGCAGTGGAGTCCAGCTTTACAATCATACAAGCCCCCTGAAATTAACCTCCATAGTTCTTCAACTTCAAGGTCCTCTTGTTAGTGACATGCAGCATGATTTTATAATCCCAGGAGGAAAAAAGAGAAATAATATCAATCAAAATATAACACAATTGTCTTCTGAATTTTTATACTTATTGAAAGAAATATTTTCAACTTATTTAGACATAACAGATTTTTTTCAGTGTATCAATATGATAAGTCTTATAAAAGGTCAATATACTAGAAATTCATCAGTTAAGTCAGCTCCAAAACCTCTTTGCAGCCAGGCACAGTGGCTCATGCCTGTAATTCCAGCACTTTGGGGGGCCAAGGGAGGTGGATCACTTGAGGTCAGGAGTTTGAGACCAGCCTGGCCAACATGGCGAAGCCCCATCTCTATTAAAAATATAAAAAATTAGCCAGGTATGGTGGTGTGCACCTGTAATCCCAGTTGCTCTGGAGGCTGAGGTGGGGGAATAGTTTGAACCCAGGAGGTGGAGGTTGCAGTGAGCCAATATTGTGCCACTGCACTCCAGTCTGGGCAACAGAACAAGATTCCATCTCAGAAATAAAATAAAGTAAAATCTCTTTGCACTTATAGTCCAGATTCTGGCCTGGCATGGTGGCTTATACCTATAATCCCAGCATTTTGGAAGGCTAAGGTGGGAGGATCATTTGAGCCCCGGAATTTGAGATCAGCCTGAGCAAGATGGTGAGACCTTATCTCTACAAAAAATAAAAAATAAGTTGGGTGCAGTGGTGCATGCCTGTAGTCCCAGCTACTGGGGAGGCTGAGGCAGGAGGATCCTTTGAGCCAGGAGTTCCAGGCAGCAGTGAGCTACGAACATGCCATTGCAATCCAGCCTGGGTGACAGGGCAAGACTCTGTCTCTAAAAACCCAAAGAAGACCAGGCATGGTGGCTCACACCTGCAATCTGAGCACTTTGGGAGGCTGACGCAGGAGAATCACTTGAGCCCAGGAGTTTGAGACCAGCCTGGGCAACACAGGGAGACTCCATCTCTACAAAAAATTAAAACAAAAACAAAACAAAAAAACGGAGTCCAGATCTTCAGGATCACTTTCAACTAAAAAATATCTTTATTTTTTTTTTATTTATTTTTTATTTTATTTTTATTTTTATTTTTTTTTTGAGACGGAGTTTCGCTCTTTTTACCTAGGCTGGAGTGCAATGGCGCGATCTCGGCTCACCGCAACCTCCGCCTCCTGGGTTCAGGCAATTCTCCTGCCTCAGCCTCCTGAGTAGCTGGGGTTACAGGCATGCGCCACCATGCCCAGCTAATTTTTTGTATTTTTAGTAGAGACGGGGTTTCACCATGTTGACCAGGATGGTCTCGATCTCTTGACCTCGTGATCCCCCCCCCTCGGCCTCCCAAAGTGCTGGGATTACAGGCTTGAGCCACCCCCCCCGGCTGTTTTTTTTAATTTTTTTTTTTTTTTTTTTTTTTTTGAGACGGAGTTTCGCTCTTGTTACCCAGGCTGGAGTGCAATGGCGCGATCTCGGCTCACCGCAACCTCCGCCTCCTGGGTTCAGGCAATTCTCCTGCCTCAGCCTCCTGAGTAGCTGGGACTACAGGCACGCACCACCATGCCCAGCTAATTTTTTGTAGTTTTAGTAGAGACGGGGTTTCACCATGTTGACCAGCATGGTCTCGATCTCTTGACCTCGTGATCCACCCGCCTTGGCCTCCCAAAGTGCTGGGATTACAGGCTTGAGCCACCGCGCCCGGCCCGTAAATATCTTTATTTTATCACAGGCATTTAAAAATGTGCATATTAGCATCCCTGAAACAAGGTATGTACACTTGGCAAAATAAACAAAAACCAGAAGAAAATAACAATTAAAGTCATTTTATATTTAAGTGACTGTTTTGCTAATGTGTTTATGAATAAACCAAACACCTTGTAATAACAATGGAAAACATATCAAATTATAAGCAAAAAATAAGTAATAAAGATTAAAAGAAGCGAGTTAAAGAAAATAACTTGTAGTAAGGCTGAGAGTGAGTTTTAGGAACTACAAACCCGGTGTCTCTTCCGCAGATCCTAGTTCCGACATATCTCTCAAAACATGGCATCTCACCACCTGGAGCAGAATTTCAGAGCTTAAAAACAGGCCACACTTTTGCCTCCAAAATAAAACTAAGTTTTCATTGCACCAGGTGCTCAACCCAAGAAATGATGATGAGTACAATATTTATGGAAACCAGTGAAGCTAGACTTCCCAAGGGGCTATGCTGCCTTCAGCCTTCTCGGGGGGCTTCTCCAAGGCAATTTTGACTGCCTGGGTTTGGCTCTAAATACTAGCTTTTTTGTTTGTTTGTTTTGGAGACAAGAGTTTTGCTCTTGTTGCCCAGGCTGGAGTACAGTGGCGAGATCTCAGCAATCTCCACCTTCTGGGTTCAAGCAATTCTCCTGCCTCAGCCTCCCGAGTAGCTGTGATTACAGGCATGTGCCACCACAACCAGTGAATTTTCTGTTTTTAATAGAGATGGGTGTTTCTCCATGTTGGTCAGGCTGATCTCAAACTCCCGACCTCAGGTGATCTGCCCACTTCGGCCTCCTAAAGTGCTGGGATTACAGGCGTGAGCCACTGTGCCCAGCCT